TGTCAAAATTTTCAATTTTCTATAAGATCCACTTGTTTCGGTCAAATGGCGAAAAAGACAAAGAGGCATAATGTTAGAAAAAAAAACAACCAGTTTAGTTGTTTTTAAGACCGTAATCTTTTAAATTTTACGGACACTAAATTTTTGGCAAGTTAATTGATGTTCTTATTTTTTGCAATATGTCCCGAATACTCGCGGCTTGCAATCCGGCTCCCAGTACAAAATGATACTTCAGACAACACAATTCAAACTAATTCAAGAACTGAAAAATTTGGTCAAAAAAATTGGAACGCATGACGCAGGAGACGATTTAACCAACAGAGTATTTCATTATTTAATACCAAATTTAAAAAGAAAAAGACAAAAAAAGCTTTTAACAGCAGTTTCCTTGTAATAAAACAACAATTAATCATATTTTGGCAATATCTGAAACCTTGATCCACTGCGCTTACAATCGCTGTGACTGTTATTGTGCGTTTTATTTAACGGAATCACTGCTTAACAGCTTATGACTTGAAGCAATTTTTGAGCCGGGTTTTGCTTTGAAAAATGAGAGAACACAACTAGCTTCCCGGGTTGACCTAATCATACATTTCCGAAAGCTAAGTCTACGAAAAAATGCTAGTCAAAAGTTCATACATTTTTGCTAAAATGGTGTCATTTTAAAAACTTTTTTCATTTTGACGAAAAATTCTGAGCAGCGTCAAAATTAATAAAAAGATTTTTTGTCAAAAATGCTACTTATACAATTTCCATAAATTAAAATTGTAAGACTAGCGTTTTTTGAAGTACACATTGAAAATTTTTTAAAGTATATAAAGTACTGTAGTTTTTTCATGCGCAACTTTTGTTCGCGAACAAACATTTTCCAGAAAAAATATATAACTTTGAACCCTAATTTTTTTTGTGTATAACGTAGTCCTGGATACACAAAAGTTTATTTAGTTTTCCGTTTTTCTAAATAGTTTCTCCGAAAAAAAACCTTGAAAAAGCTTATTGCTTCCGTATTGAGTTTATTTGTATGCTTGAGCAATGCATGAATTAATAAAAGTTCAAATACAGTAAATTAGCCTCTTCGAAAGTTTTTGCCAAATTAAGAAAATTGCTTCTTCATCATTTTGTTTGTGTAAAGCATGTATATTTAAGTCTTTACCAATGCACGACCTTTATAACTTTGCTGCCATTATCTTTGAGTAACGAAGGTCTTTGTCACTTGTGTTCGGTTATGAACACAACCCAAAAATTTGAGAAGAACCTATGGTGAATGGTAAAATGCTAGGCATACAATTTTATAATATGAAAAACCAATAAACAGAGACCTTTCATGCAACTTTCTATATTAAGGGTATTGTATGAAAACTATATGGTTAGCGTTTTTGGTCAATCAACCCGGGTCAAGTACTGATATTATTTATCCTACATTTGAGTTTTGAATAAGGCTAAATTGTATTCAACCAGTACAGTATAGACCGCTCCAAAAATTGATAATCAGAGAATCGAGAACTGTTTGAAAAAATAATTCTCTTTGAGTCTCCTAATTGTGAAGATATGCTGTTGATTTCTGAGAAAAAATTTTACCAGTTACTTTATTTCTGAAACAAAAATTTGCTTACACCAACGTATGTTGCCAAACTTGTCGCGTTTTTAACTCTCAGAAAGTAGCATAAAATAAAAAAAAATTTTCTTGAATAATTAAGTTCAACTAATTGTCTTTTAGATTGTTTTCGATGTTTTTGCGTTAAATCAGTTTTTGAAACAATTTTTGGCTGATTATCATTTTACGAGGTTGTAATTTGGCAATAGATTTCGAAGTTGGTCAAATTTCAAAACAATTTTAGCAAGTTGGCAAAACCTCCAATTACCCACCCACCTCAGATAAGCATCAATTTCCGAGGTGGAACTAGTTGTTTGACAAGGTTAAATATTAAAATCAAATATGTTTGCTATAATCAGCTCATTTTTTCTACAATAATCATAATTGGACATCAAGAACCAAAGATATACTAGTGGAAAGTCGCGGGTGGGAAAAAAGTAAACGAAATCCAATCATCTGATTTAAAAATGTTCGGTAATTCTCCAAAGCTAAATTTTGGTGTTAATATGTTATGAATAAACTAGGTTTAAAAGCTATATAAAAACATCAATTATGTAATTTAACGGGTTAAGTGCTACTACTGTACAAATGATATTTTATAAAACCATTACAAAACATCTGAAGAATCATTTCGTCCAATTACCAATATCACCAATATAAAAAAGAAAAAACACTAAATCTTCTACAATAAAATATCTGAGAACAGTTTTTCCTTTTTTTTTGCCTCGAATCAAATTTTTTTAGTTGCAGCAGAGCTTTGAATTGTTTCTTACCAAAAGTGCAATTTAGTCTGCAATTGGTTTCATTTCTTACACATTTTAACGCAAATTCTAAGAAATCGGCAACCATTTTAACGCAAAATAATTTTCCAAAAAAAAAAAATAATTTGGGAAAAAAGGCACTCGTGCTCACCAATATAGTCAAAAGTTTGGTAACAACTTAGCATTATATAAATAGTCAAATGTGACATCATTCATGTGTTTTATGTTCTTTTCGGTCAAACGATACTGCTTCTAAATTAATCTTCTAAAATAATACATACGAACTGATAATATCACATTCGTATTTTAAGCAGCAAGTAAGTCAACGTTCAATTTAACCGGGTAGTCATTACAGAAAAGACTAAGTAAGTCCGCGTCTGATAGTTTGGGTGGCATAGTGGATGGGGTTCCTAATGACTGAAGGACTGAAGAGACCCCCCATGAGTCACACAGTTCACTGGCATCCGCAGTACTCGACTACCATCTCTCGGTATCGCTTGAGGATGACATTGGAGTCGTCGTCGAAGTAGAGGACAGAGATGGGGGACAGTTTCCGAGGGGCACAACAGGCGGCCTCCACCCCCTCTGGGTCGAATACGTGCATAAGAGTCTGCAGGATGGCGTGGTTGGTCGCGTTCAGAGACGAGTCCAGGGGGAACTGAAAAAAGCAACAAACTTCTGAAGAACTTCAGGAAAAATCCGAAACTTTGATTGATTAAAAAATCGCTTTTGTATCAATTTAGAGAAGACTTTGCGGAAGTCATTTAAATATTTGGAAATTATTCAGTTCTTTGGAAATTATTGTATTCCTTAGAGTAAAAAAATGCGCGAAAACCCTGTTGGTTACAGACATTGATTGAAAATTGAATTGATAAATTTTGTATTTTACCTATTCTTTATAGTATACAAATTTGATGTTCAAAAAATACCTGGCAAGTTCCGCTGCAGTGATAGGCGTGATAGCTCTCAGGTGCCAAAATCCAGTCATCCCAGCCGAGATCTGCGAAACTCACAAAGAGAGTCTTTCTCTGGCATCGGGTTTTGGCTCTGTGGTACGGGTCACTGTTAATCATAACTGTCGGATACGAGGGGTTGGCCGAACGGCGCTTTCGGGACATCAGGTTTCGGCTTCGAGTCTCGTCAAACGAGGAATAAAACGCTGCCAGAAATGGTTGTTTGAAATCGTCGGCATGGTTTCCGGAAATCCCGACAGCTGTGAGCGAGTATTCAACCGTTTCGTTGAAATCCCGAACGACGACTTGAAGACCGAAGTTGACGAAAGGGTTATTCTGCCATTCCGCCAGGAGTTCAGTCAAGTCGAAGGCCGTCCAGCCGAAGAAGTAGGGATGAACCGCCTTTTTGGCGACAACTTCCAAGCCAAGTCGATCGTCTCCTACTGGGACAACTTTGTAAAGTGTCACTGTGAAATGATCACCTGTTTTAGGGAAGATAGGCGAAAGCTCCTTGTAGATCCGAAGTTCGGCCAAGATCGGCTTCTGCTTAACGTCCACTTGACTTGCAATGTCAGAAACGTCGAAGTACAGATACTCATGAGAGAAATGCGATTTCATAGACGGATCTGTTAAACTTTTGTAACCTTTTTCCATATGGATTCCTTGGTTTATAAACGAAATTATAAAGTCGGCTTTTGAAATTGCTTCCAGCATTTTCTCCGAATCAACTTCTCCTTGTAGAAGCTCTTTTGCGTTTTCCAGGGTAATTTTGTCGAGCCAGTTGTAAATCTGTCGCAAAAAGTGGGGAGCGGAGTTGTGACGATATTTTTCAAGGTCAAGCTTGGGTCGATTTTGCAACCCAAGCAAGCTTAAAAACTCTTGCTCTATTATGGTGATTTCAGGGCTATGTTTCGAGATTTTTGTGAAAGCATTTCCTTCCTCGATTGAAAAATCATCTGTAATAATCAAATAAATTCCGAGAGTTAAAATAACAAGCAGTTTAGTAAGCATTTTAAAGAGAATAAATTTTATGAAAAACTTTAAATGAATGAAAACAAAATTCAAACTAAATCAAGAATGGGGTAGGTAAAATGTAATTATAAGTTACTTATGAGAAAGATTTTTATGAAATTTTGCGAAGGAAGACTGGCACATAAAATCTATAACTGGGTCTCGTATAATGAATAAAATTCCTTTTTGGGTGCTTAACTTCATTTAACTTATCAGTCTCCGATTTCTGATAAAAATATTAGAGTTAATCTTTAGTTTTGGGGCCTCTTAATTTTGAATTCTCGAAACCACCAAGCTCCCAGATCAAAACTATCGAAACGCTGTGCGTGTTCAAAAATCAAGAATTCTTTCTGCGGCTTCAGACAAGATAGAACATTTGACAAGTCAAAAGCACTGCAAAACATGCAATTAACGAACTTATTACGAAAACAAGAGTATCTTCTGCCGTGTTTTTGCTGGTAATAAAAGCTGGTATCTGTGTAGATAATTACAAGTGTTTAAGCTAACATGTGATTAACTTTGTTATGATAATGCAAAATGGCTCGTTAAATCTAATATAGCTTTTGCTTACCAACAAAATCTACCATTGCAGTTTTGTTGATTAAAATCGCTGCGGAAATATTTGGTGCGCGACCATGATACAAGACCACTAGAATAGCAAGTGAATGTGCCTGGTCGAGGACCCGCTCCCTCCCTTCTGTTGCCGACTGTTTTCCTTTGTTTCTATTATATGAAGGTCATTTCCGGCTAACGGGTCCTACAAACTTCCTAAGGTGCAATGAAAGCCAATATATGCCAATTTTGAAGAAGAGAGCACACTAAAGGCAAATTTTAGTCGAAATTTTCAAAAAAAAAAAATTTAAATTGACATTCTCTATCAAAATATTGCCTGCGGCGCAAAATATTCTGCCAAATATGACCATTCTAGTGCTTGGACAGAGCTTGAAGTTTTCAAATTAGCTAACTTTAAAAAATCAACAATTTTTTCAAGCCCCCGTCGAACCCCCGAGCGCAACTACATTTATAACTTAATTTTGTGAAAGTTCACAATTTTGTATCAATCGGTATTTAGGTCGGAAGTGGTCCTGTTTTTGTTGCCCTTCGTTTATCCTTAAACGTTAAATTATCGCCCCAGCCTTTTTTCTTAAAGGAAAGCTAAGAGAAGGGGGGTAGAGACGGATTTTTGAAAAATGATTGAAAGCGCATACACCAAAAGCGCAAAGTTACATCATTTTCCCAGAATATGCAGCGCAAAGCAGGTGTTACAAATTTACCGGTGAATATTTACTGATACAATATTAATTGAGGTGGTCAAACATTGACATACTTCAAATTTACGAGTCGAATAACGTCTTTCAATGTTCCTGCTTATTTTTTTTCTTCAACTTTGTCGACTATCGTTTATATTTTGTCAACTTTTTTAAAATGTGTCCTGTTGTTATGTTGATCCGAATTTCGAAGAAAGTGCGCAAATATTAAGCTTAGAGTGTTTTTTTAGGCATGGCGATAAATCGTGGCCAGCGACAATTCGTCGCAAGCGACTGTTCGTAGCATTTGTAAAAAAAACTACTATTCGCAGCACTAGACTCGTAGCAAGCGACATATAAAAGCGGTAAAATTGTTGATCAGATCAAAAGAAACGAGATGAAAGGGTTAAATTTAAAAAAAAGAAACAAAAATAAACAAAACTGAACAAGAGGCCCTCAAGCTGCTTGAAAGTACTATTGTTGCTATAATGTTAAAGGACTTCAACTAATCTGACTTGAATTTATTTGGTAATTTGCCACCTTGGCAGCATATTCTCAGGCAGTCATTCTAACCAATTTGTACTCCGACATACTTTTTTTTTGTCAGGAGTTGAATAAACCCATCTGGAAGGCCGTATGCCATCACTCGACCGAGTTGTTGGTTTTCTGTCTTCCAATTTCGGCGTTTTCAAACTGATTCCAAAAGGAAATAGGGAATTTGCCAACCCACCCGCGTCCTTGGAGGAGGGTTTCAACTAAACTTGATTAAAAACAATCAAAAAATCAAGTAAGGGGGACTCGTAACTTTTGTCAGAAGTTTCATAGCATAAAGCAGTCATGCCGATTTCAAAGTCGAGCTGAAGTATTAGAGGCAGAGCAGTGAATGAGTTTAGAAGCAGCCTAATTTTTATACCTTCTCGATAAACTGGTGCTAATCCGATCTCGAGTTAAGTGAAAGAAGAAACTTATGATAGTTACTCCATTGATAACCTTCAGACACGCGTTAATTGAAGCCTTCTCAAAATCTACCACAATCTGTGGGGGCCCAAGTCCTGGATTGATTTCTTCGAGTTGTCTGAAAGCCCGGATGTATTGCTCTTCAATTTTGTTCTGAAACGAAAGAAGACTAAAGAAAGAATTTGATCGTGAACCACAACAAGAATTGAAAGAAAAAACGAAAATTTAACGCGGGGTTTTCTTTAAATGTCCCATCTGCGTTCCAGACTGTGTTGATCGTCGGTGGAAAATTTTAACATATGGTCTTTGTTATCTGACCCCGGATCAAAAGGAGTAAAATATCTCCCCTAATGGTCTTCTTAACCCCAGAGGCACGGCATTGTCTTTTATTGATTGAGTGGGGGTGGAATTAATTAATTGCTCGTTGCCGTTACACAGTTCTGGCGAGTAACTTTTTCTTAGGACCTAGAAAAGTTTCGAGGCAAATATCTCCAGTGTTTTCCACGTAAATGATCCTGAGAGGCTCTACTATTGCTTTTTTTCTGTTTGATAGCAATTTAGATCTGTAAACTTACAGTTTTATAACAGGCCAAAAAAAAACATTCGATGGCTCCAAAATACACCCAGTCGTTGAAAATACACCAGTCGTTAAAAATCCACCCTGTTTTTGTTCCGTTGGGTATGGCCAGTTTCCCCCCAAAGAAACGTTTTCCTGTCATGCTAATTCAACGTTTTAAAACAATAAAAAATTAGAAAAACCTTATTTTTGAAAGTTGAAGCTAGCGCTTTTTTAACTTCTCCCTAGCATGCAATATTTTTGTATGTTATGCTAATTAACATTTTAAAATAATAAAAAATTAGAAAACTTTATTTTTGAAAGTTGAAGCTAGCGCTTTTTTAACTTCTCCCTCGCATGCAATATTTTTGTGACCATATTATCCAGATATACTGACTAAGTCATCTGCTGATTTCCTCGCGGTTTGTCTGTTTTCCTCGCTCGATCGTGAGAAACTTTGGAGGCATGGCAGTAAGTGTAATGATTTGCAAGAGAAATTTGAAACGCATGAAACAAAACAAAGGTGTTCTAGATGCTACTCGCGTTCAATATCTCTTATTTTTACTGATAATTCATTTCAAAATTGAACTTAGCTCATAACTGGTACTAAATTAAAAATTTTGATTGCTCGCTGGGTTTAAACCCCCCACAGCCACAACAAAGTTTTGTGTTTAGTTCGCATCAATTAGTTGTCTCACAGTTTTTTTGCTGCTAATTGTTTTTTGCTACGAGTTAGCGCTTGGTGCAAATTGTCTTTTTTGAAACAGCTGCGAATCGTCGCTTGAGACCAATTGTACAGTCGCCTCAAGATTTTTTGTACAGTCCTTATTCGACTATTTAATTGTTTTTAAACAAAAATTTTGAATATTGTCTGAAAGATATTATTATCTTGAGGTCAAGTCGAAAATTATATTTTGCGTAGGATCGTTTTTTGCTTCGTTACTGGTTTGAAAACTGCTAACTTAGTCATAAAAGTTTGATCCCACACTGCTCCCAAATATTTATTGAGGCTCTCAAAGTTCGAATCTATGCGTCAAGGCAGTGTGCACAAAGATGAAATTGGTTGAACACTTACTCCTTGAAAATCAAACACTAACCCTGCATCAATTTTTTGACAGTATATATAAGCAAAGTTTTTCAGCTGGAAAAATACCTGGATCTTCACCGTCTTTGACATACGTTCTTTTCACTTCCTGAACTAATTAACTAGTTAAACATAACTCCAATGTCGAACTTGACAAAATAATTGACGAAACCAATGATTGTAATACTTTCAAAAATAACAAAGATAGAATAAATTCGTTTTGAATGATTTCAAGTCACTTTAGAAAACATTCATACGAAAGACTTTACCAAGGCAATCCTTAACGCTCCACTCCCGCTCCCAAAATTCCCCACTTCATCCAATTTATACGCCTTTGACTGATCTACCTGTTTGTGCATCCCAATTGCAGTAACAAAATATTTTCAATTACCTAATTTTATAGAGTAGACTGACCATAACGTCCGTACTGTTCTGCCCTTCATACACTCTTACATTGCATAATCCTTCATTTTGGGTTATTTTATCTCTCATGAAACGATGACGTTCATTTCATCTTTTATTTTTAATTCCCCTAATTTTGTCAAAAACTATGTCTTTGACCTCTTAAGACTTATAAAAAGCTGTCTTCGTTACCTTACCTTCAACCTGCATATCCAGACTGGAACTACTGAAACGATATGGGCGAAGGTTAGTTTATTTAAATTGTCTTTCCATCTTCAGCGAAGTGACATCAATCAATAAACCAATCGTGGATTTCTGATTTTTCTTGAAAAAATGAACTTTGGCATTACTGCGTGAAATGTTACTCGAGCGGAAAAAGTTCATTTTCTCATTTGAACTACTGATAGTCTTTGCTACTTCCATATAAAATGTTCAGTCAATTTTTAATATTCGACTAAAATATGATTTTTTTTGAAAAAGCCAACTTTACAATTTTTCACTAAATTGTCAATCAGTTCTCTATAGTTTGAGTCAAAAAACTTTTGCCAAAAAGTTTTCTAAAAAAGAGAGATACTTTTTGGACAAAAAATGATACAAAAAAATTAGTGGGAACCACCAAACGGATAAAAAAAATTTTGAAAAGAAAAGGAATTCCAAAATAACAGGAATTGTTGCTTACAGTGTGCGCATTTTCTTGGTTTCATTTCATGATTGGATTTTTTTCTATATCAGTAATAACTTTGACGAAATTTTGAAACGTTTTTATTGTAGGCAAGTTTTGGCTTTTTGTAGCCTATTCGCCTTTTTTTCACCTTAATTAATTGACTTACCAGCTGTTCCAAAAGCATAATTACGTACCGAAATTTTGAATGAACATAACGTTTAAATTGTAGAAAATAGCTGGTGATTGTTGCGACCTTCGACAAAAAATGAGAAATAAGTATATTCGGGGAGTTTTTTTAAAACTAGTTTCATAAAACTAATTTATCTCTCGGGGATCAAGCCCTTGACCTGCATGGGCCCAGCGGGTTATGCACACCACTACAATTTCCCATCAGAATCTGTCTAAACTGCTCGTTTTATATTCAACGTTGAAGAATTATCCCTCACTACAAATTTGTTCCGAAATGAATTGAGGCAATAAGCTAATTGACTTCATTATTTCCATACAGGACTCAAATTTCACCACCAAAAATTTAATAATATGTTAAGCTTAAACTTCATAGTTTTGCCAAAATCTAATTTACCAAAAACTATTGGAGATTAATTAAAATACAATCGAAACCTTCAAAACTTCGCCTTGATACGAGCAGTCTTGTTCTACCATAATTAT